CCGTTTCTAGGCACTGAAACAAAGATGGATGATGCATCTGCTTACTGTTTAAAAAAAGTGTCATTTTGATCATCGCATAGATTGTTTATCACAGATCTTCTAAGAAATAGACTTGCCTATAAAAAAAAAAAATCCACCTTACCTTTTATAGTCTCTCTGTGACCTAGATTGGCTCAGGTCCTTGAAGCTGGTAGGACAGTAACAGTGATTTCACAGAATTATGAAGTTGCTGCTTTTTCCTGGGTTCGTTTCTGATTTACAAGCCATGAACCAAGTTTTCAGAGTTTTCCTAGCCATTTGACCAGCTTTATGGTCGGGATCAACTGGAAAGGTGCATCAGATGCAAAGCTGAGGAAGATTGTCTCAAGCATCCTGAAGGGCTTTACATCTTGAGTACCCCTGGATTCACACATTACATCTGGGGTTGCTACTGTTATTATTTTTACTGACAATCAGCTCCCATTTGAAATAGACTTTAATATTACACTCATCATTTTATACAGAAATGTCATTGAAAATAAATAATGTTTTTTCAATACATTATATAATAAGAGAGAAAAGTATAGAGAGCTACATAAAACCATGTGCTTTGGAGTTAGATGGCCCCAAGTTGAATTCTGGCTCTATCACATGTAATGTGGTAGCAAGTAATTTAAATTTTAAATTTAAAACTGTAAAAAGAGACAGGGAAAATCAATTTCAATGATATACTTATCCCAATATACCTGAAATATTATCATTTTAATATGTAATCAATATAAAAATTGTTAATGAGATACTTTGTGGTCCTTTCTTATTCTCAGTCTTTGAAATCCAGAGCATGTTTTACACTTACAGCACATCTTTATTTGGGCCTGCCACATTTCAAGGAGTCCATATCTGTATGTGTCCTGTGGCTACAGTCTGCAAAATATTAGGAACATTGGGGACTTTCATCTTATGTGGATTCTTGAGTGGGCATTTTCTGTTGTGAGGGTGGTACATGTGGAGAAGGTGATATAGACCAGGACATCTCAAATGTTAGCTTGCATACGAATCACCTAGAGAATAGGTTAAAATGCAAATTCCTGGGTCCTAACTCCATGGATTCAGATTAATGGTGTCTGGGCTATGAACCAAACATTCTCATTTCCAATAAGCCTCTAGCTGTGCTGATGTTTTTGATGCATGGAATAAAATCTCCTTCTTTGAATTTAACCATTAGCTTTGTTTTTCTCATTGTCTTTGAAACAAAAAAGACTAGAGGTACCTATTTTGGCCACAGTGATAAAATTGAAGTACTTTCCCATGGCACACATATCAGTCCCTGTTTATACTAGTCCTACACACAGGGGTGAAACTTGCAGCCCACTCATTCTCCTCTGCCAGTTGTTGAACCACCAGAACCTAAGCCCAGTGATGGGGGTTCATCACTCCGCCACCTTGTGGAATCCAATTTCCTCTTGTTTCTCTAAACCTACTGTTGCAGCAAGAGTCCCCTTCAGCCCCACGCCTCCTCAGCTGTAACCCCTCCTTTTTAATCAAGATGGGGGGCTCTAACATCACCATTATATTGAATATGTACTCGAGGTCATTTACTACACAGAAGTTGCTGAATTTACATGATTACTTTGTCCTAGAATCACTTTAGTATGTCTAACAACATCTTTCTTTATGTACATGTTCATTACTTCTCCTTTTGCTTGAATATAAAAGTCCGTAATATTTAGGCAGTTGATCATTCCTGAAAATATATACCTTCAGGTCAGTGTTCACATATCAGATAAACTTCATGACTTCTTACATTGCCATTAAAAAATGATGCTGTATGATTATGATGGAAACTGTGAGATTGTCTTATATTTATTAAGTAAGTTTCCACCATCTTGTTCTACCTAAGCATGATTTCAACAATCTACCTGTCTTGTGCCCTCCAAGAAGATCAATAGCCTCTTCCCTGAAGAATATTATGCAGATAAACAAAAATTGTCTTAAAAATATTTAAGTTCACTATAAACATCACTAAGGGCTAGATGCCTGGTGACTAGAACAATGGAGGGCAGAGATGGACTAAAGAAATTCATTCATGTTTCAATGAAAGCTCTGTCATTAACCAGCTTTGTGAGTATTATTAGGCAACTTATTTACTTCTCTAGGCTTAGTTTCTTCATCTGCAAAATAAAAATGGCAAAATCCCCACTTAATGGAGTGACTATGAAGATTAAGTAAAATAACACATGCATAGGCTTATATCACTCAATCAAAATTGATTGTCATTGTTGCAGACAAAGTATTTCTAGTTTAATAATCTTTAAAGACATCATTGCCTTTGAGTCAGGTGTTGAACATTGGTTGGATTTATCTGGCCTTAACTTTTTTAAAAAAATATTTTTAAACATGTACTACAAATTCATTATATAAAATGTTAAAGTTATAATAAAGAAAAAACTACCAATGATTCCATTACAGAATAGTCCTAATGTGTAGGACAATAACCACAACAAAGGATTATCTGGCCCCAAATGCCAATAATGATAAAGCTGAGAAGTCCTTTCTTACCAGACATAGCACTCTACCCTATATCTGTGGGAGGGGTGCTTCATTCTCACTTTGGCCCTAGTAAGAGGATTCAAGCAAATAGCTTGCCCAGGGTCCTCCACACTTTGATGGACAAAAGTACTAGCCTTTGACCCATTTTTGGAAAAACTCTGAAAAGAAGTGGGTCTAACTGCAGCAATCAGAGGCAGCTGAGACAAAGAAAAGTAGCCTGAGTTAGAAAGTACCTGCACTTTGAGAGCTCAGAGGGTCAAGGATTCTTGCTTTTCTGTGGGTAAAGGGGACCATGCCTTGAATCATCTTGAAAGGAACCACATAAAATAGGAATAGAACATGAAGAGTGAAGACCCAGAGGGGAGTGGTAGGGAATGAAGCAAAGAAGGCATCAGCTCATCAGCAAAAAAATTAAGAGGGAGGTCCACAAAGAGAGAAGTGTGTAGGAACAGGGAGGTGGTCTGTAAGCCAGACACCCCCTGAAAATCAGCATTTGAACACTTGTTTCCTCCAAAGAGATGATGCCAGTGATCTTTTCTACTCTTTCCTTTCCTCCCTACCTTCCTGAGGTAGCTGCATGAGTGAGAGGGAAGGTGAGGAGAGCAAAGTGGACAGTTATAAAGACAGTACTAGCTCCTGCACTGCCCTTAGAGTTCTCCTAAGCTAGGTCGGGAGAGAAGCTGCTGCTAGGTAAGGTTGAGGTTTTGATGGTAGCCTGGATCAGATTGTCTCAAGTCTTCAAATCACCAGATGAGCTGATGGTTCTGCTCACAAGTTCATTTTGGGATATGAAGAAAGAATCTCTAGAGCCCTTTCGAAAAAGCAGTTATGCGAAAGAATAAAGTTACTTTATCATATAAACTACCAAGTCAAATTTATTCATGAAACTGAATCCATGCATGTAAAAAACACATATGCCCATGCCTATGTAGATAAACACATCTGTGTATGATTAGATCATATAAATAACAGAAATACATATACCTGTGCATGATTGTGTGTGTGTATATATATAATTTTTAATTGCCTTATTCACTTAGAATTTTATGATAAACATTTATTTCACATTATTGAAGTTATCTGTTATATAAATATCCCTCAATTCACATGAACAATCCTAATTTTGTAGCTGGATATTTTGATAATAAATCAATAACTTGCTACTAAAAACAACAGTGTAATGAATATCCTTATAAATATCTGTGCTATTAGTTCCTGGATTTAGATTATAAATTTTATTTTAGTGCTCATATTTTTTGTTCAGTTGACTTTTGAAAAAATGAACTTTATAAATAAAAAAATTTAGTTGTAGTAAAAATGACAAAATTTTTCATCATCTTAACTCTTTTACAGGGTTTGATTCAATAGTGTTGATTATATTCCCACTGTTGTGAAACAAGTCTCCAGAACTTTCTTGTCTTGCCAGGTGCCTAATCTCAGTGGCTCAAGAGGCTGAGACAGAAGGATCACAAGTTCAAAGCCAGCCTCAGCAAAAGTGAGGCACTAAGCAACTCAGCAAGAGCCTGTCACTAAGTAAAATACAAAAAAAAAAAAAAAAAAGGGCTGGGGATGTGGCTCAGTGACTGAGTTCCCCTGAGTTCATGCCCCGGTACCACTAGAACTTTCTTATCTTACAAAATTGAAACTCTATGCCCATTAAATGACAGCTTCCATTTCTCCTTCTTCCCAACCCCTGGTAACCACCATTCTACTTTCTATTTCTATGAATTTAATCACTTTAGATAGCCCAAATGAGAGGAATTATATAGCATTTGTCTTTCTGTGCCTGGCTTATTTTACTTAGTGTGATGTCCTCCAGGTTCACCTCTGCTCTAGCATATGATAGGATTTCTTTCCCTTTTAAAGCTGAATATGATTCCATTGTATGTATATACCATATATACAATTTATTTATGTATTTTTTGTTGATTAATATCTAGGTTGTTTACATCTCTTGGCTGTTGTGAATGATGCTGCTATGAATATAGGTGTACAAATATTTCTTTGAGACTCTACTTTCAGTTCTTTTGGATAAAGTATTTGAATAGATGCAACAATGGACAACATGCATATGAATGGATGCTGAACATAATTAATCATTATAGAAATACAAACCAAAACCAAAATGAGATGTCACTTCATGTTCATTAGGAGGGCTGTTCTCACCAAAAGGAGGAGGGGTGAGCAGGAAGTGTTGACAGTGTTGGGGAGAAACTTAAATCCTTGTGCATAATGGTGGGGATGTACAACAGTACAGCTACTATGGAAAACAGTGTAGCGTTTCCTCAAAAAATTAAAACTACCACATAATCAAGCTTTATAAATTTGTATGCACACCAGCAATATGTGGAAATGCTTCTCTCTCTGCACCTACAGGAAGTTGAACATTTTGATTTTAAAATTTTTTTTAAATGAAGCATTTTTTTTACACAATATCTTTATCTTATTTATTTATTTATTTTTATGTGGTGCTGAGGATCGAACCCAGTGTCTCACACGTGTGAGGCAAGCGCTCTACCGCTGAGCCACAACCCAAGCCATGTGATTTTGAAATCTTTGACAATGTGTTAATTATCTGTTGAAGCCTACTAAATCACCCAAGGCTTAGTGGCTTCTAAAACTGCAACAATTCATGATTTCTCATGAGTCTTTGAGTTGTCTTGGCTGTTCTTCTGCACATGTGGAATCTGTTGGAGCCACTCATGGACTGCAGGAAGCTGCTTGGGTTTGAAGGTCCAGGAAGGCATCATTCACATGTCTGGAGCATGGGATTTGGCTGTCAGATGGCCTTTGCTCTGCTCCCGGTGACCTCTTTTTCTATCAGGTCCTCCTATCAGCCTGGCAGTTCAATTCAAAAGGACAGAAAACTTAAGCTGCTAGGCTTCTCAAAAACCAAGCCAAGCAGAGGTACAACATCACTTCTACCCCATTCTACTGCTCAAAGCAAATCACAGGAGAAGGAGAAATGGCACTTCTTGAGAAGACATGTGACATGAATGCGTAGCAATGGAGGAATGATCTTTGCAAACCATTTACCACAGACAAGCCATAGAAGGATAATGACAATCTTACTGTTGTTTTATTTTGCATTTCTTTGATAACATGTGAGATTTTTTAAAAAAATGTTTGCTAGTCATTTGTAGTTCTATGAATCATTTGTTTGTATCTTGTGATTTTTTAAAAAAATTTCTCTGGCAGGTTTAAATTATATTTTTAAGATATATTTGCATATTGTTTGTAAATTGTTTTAAAAATCACTAACCTATTTTCTATTATATTTGTTGTAAATATTTATCTCAGGTCATTACATTTTTGCATGCAAAAGTTATCCTAAATTTTTGAATTTTCAAGTAGTTAAATCTCTTGGGTTTTTCCATTGACATATTCAGTGATGATTATATATAATACGAAAGCAAAATGAATACTGATCGTCTTTTTGGCAGCTCAGCGTCCTCATGCCTTTTCTAGTTTGGTTCCATTTGGGACAAGACACATATTCCTGATGGTTTACATGTGGTTCGCTAGAGAAAATAGAAAACTATTGAAATGTCTTTTTTATATTCATTTATTTATATTCAGTTGTCTTTTTAAATGTATTTTTTCTTTAGAAAAATAGAAGTTAAACTACCAATATATACAGATGCAGACTTTACCTGGTATAGGACATATAGGACTGAGGACTCTAAAACAGGAAGAATTGATGGTGCTCTCCTCCTATCTTCCTTCCTTTACTGAAGATTTCAGTGTGTGCCTTAAAAAAAGAAAAAAAAAACAGAGTTATAAATTGTAGTAGCTTTATTTAAACTATTCCTCAAAATTGGATAAGTGTCTAAAAAATTGATTTTTTTCGAAATAGATTTCAACTTTAAACACTTAATAAAATGTTTGTGGTATATTTTTACTTTGTTCCTCTTTCACCATGATTGGGTAATAAAATCTACTAGTCTTTGCACCCATCCATTCTCTTTACTCATTTACTTTGGCATCATGAGTTTGCAAAATTAACAATTTTTTTTTTAAAGAAAGAATGTTTTAGGCTTTAAAAAAAATAAGCAGGAGTTAAATTTTTTTTCACCCTCTTTCAGAATTCTAGTGTTAGAAATTTCTTACAAAAACATTCTAGTTGTGTTTTTTTCTGGAAGTTAAAGTTGTCTTAATTGAGACGGACATTTGAGACACTATTTAATATTCAAACTTTATAGTCATGTAACTAGTTAGCAGAAAGCTTTTTTCATTTAATAGATTCTACATGGGTTTTCTCCAAATTTTAAAGGAATGTATCCACTCTCACAGGCAGCTAAGTAGAGGTTAAATTCACCTGTGACCTCCTCTAGGATGTGTCTATGAGATCTTGCTGAGAATAGCTGTCTCGTTTTCTTGTTAACACTGGGTATTCAATGATCTAAATAATTTCTTTCATTTTACGGGTTAGTGATTTCTCATTTTGAATTTTTCTGATCACGACATATTGTTTTCTTTTTTTAATTTTTTTAATTGTAGATAGACACAATATCTTTATTTATTTATTTTTATGTGGAGCTGAGGATCAAACCCAGTACCTCACATGTATGAGGCAAGTGCTCTACCACTGAGCCACAACCCCAGCCCAATATATTGTTTTCTTAACTTTTGAATATCTGGGTAAATATAATGTGTTTGCTTTGTACATTGACCTTAACGTGTAGTAATATTTTAAAATTATATTTCTCTAATGAGCCATTAAACTTTAGCATCAATTAAAATTTTGTAATAAAACTTTCACAGCAACCAATAAGTAATTGCTATAATTAGAAGGTTATTTTGTGGTAACAATAAATGAATGCTACTTATACACGGACTCATGTCATGTGAAAATATTATTATACTTTAAGTGAAAACTTTACGACATCATCTTGGTAAAATAAACAAACGATAATGCTATGATCTGCAAAAATGAAAACCAAAATTTAGCTAAATTTTGCCAATAGAGAATTTTTTATTGTTTTCATTAAGAATGTTTTTTAAACACACATCAATGAAAAACAATTTGCAACATTAGAAATATTATTTACGGTAAATGCACAAAGTCTTTTGTTTGTTGAACTTGTTCCTTTCCTTACAAATCAAAGCAAAGCAATATCTATGTACTGTTAAGAAATACACTTTAACTGATTGCTCGAGAATTGTCATCATAAATATACGAATAAACTAATCGTTGAAACCAAAAAGGTATCATTAAAAAAAGATTTTTTTCAAAATAATAAACATGTTTACAATGTGAATGGCACTCTCTTGTTATCTTGCCCTTGTATAGCACACAACTCAGACATCTGTATGCGGCAGTCACTTTTCTATGTTGGAGATACAGGTTCAGAATGTTGGAGCCCACTCACTAGCAAAGTGTAAGCCCTAATAAAGTTGGTGCTACTGTTAGTATTATTAAAAACAAATTTAATGTATTTTTAAAAAGTAAAATCAATAAATTTAAAAAAAAAACAAATTTAAGGTAGTTTATTTGATCAATTTATTCCTTCATGATTTCTTCTATTGGTTTAACTTTCTATTTTTGCTTATAAAACTATTTCCCTTTTTAACATCACAGCACTAATCCTCTACGGGTTTTTTTTTTTTTTTTTTTTTTTTTGCTATTTTTACACTTAAAAAATATTTTCAATTCTCCTAAATTTATTTCATAGCATAATATATAGTAAGGATCTAATTTTTCCTAGAAACCTTATCTATTGTATGAAATAATCCTTTTCTACCCAATTCTAATTATTTTTATCATAATTTTTCATACACTAGAGTCTGTTTTTGGAATCTGTTTTATCTATAATGATTCATTTACCATTAACACACTGTTGAACTCACTATCGCTTTCTAACAACATTGATTATGGATAAGATGAATCATTACTCTGTTTTGTTTTGTTTTTAATTTTGGTAAAATATTTTTGTTCATTTATTGTTTTCAGATTATAACATAGGATTTGTTTTTGTTTTTGTCTTGTTTTTTTTTGGTGCTGGGGACTGAACCTAGGGCTTCACACGTGCTAAGCATGCTCCCTACCACTCAGCTACCTCCCCAGTCCGTAACATAGAATTTGAAAGTATTGACATAAAGACAGATATTCCACAGTGGGGACAGAGCAAAGGTAAAAAGAACTTCCACTGAATAACTGCTCCTAGGCCCAAAGCAATCAGAAGTTTAAAAAAGCCCATCTTTTTTTTCCCACTCTGCTATCGGCAAGCAGGATTTGTCCTCTGATACTGTATCATCTAATAAGAAAATCAAGAGAATGATAAGACATAAAAACTCCAATGAAGAGGAAGGGAGGGGACATGGGGTAATTAATGATGGTGGAATGCGATGATCATTATTATCCAAAGTACATGTATGAAGACACGAATTGGTGTGACTATACTATGTATACAACCAGAGGTATGAAAAATTGTGCTCTATACATGTAATAAGAATTGCAATGCATTCTGCTGTCATATATAAATAAAAAACTTTACATAAAAAAACTCCAATGGAAATGTGCATCAATATTGTAGTTTTATCACAGTACTTGTTCCTTGTTTAATTTGCTTTTTAGAACGTACTCACGTAAATAGAAAATTTCTGAAAATATTCTGAGAAAGTAAAATTTTATTACTAGGATGGTTTCTCTGAAATATGATATTTGCTTCACATCACCCTCCACAGAAACCTTTCCTCCCACCGACTTTTGTGAAGTGTCATGTATTCTTTTAATAAACTTGAGTCAAGATTCAAGGAAGCCCCTGATTTTAAAATTGAGAGGTTTGGGCTTGGTTTCATTTTGAGGTTTGGGGGTTATTGAAACTCAATGCAAAATGAAAGCTCTATGAATCTTCAAATCTACATTTTTAGAATAAATATTTTGTAATAACCCATGTTTTAAGCCAAATAAAATTCGTAATGAATTAACCTACCTACACATAGACTTTTTAAAACCAACGTAATGTCATAACTTAAATATAACAGAGAAACAGAAAAAAAGAAATTTATAATTTTCATATGTACATTCTCAGTATAGTCTATAGTTCTACTGAAATTGTTAGATAGTTGTAGCTCTAGGTAGCAATCACCTAAACAAGATAGGCAGAAATGAGGTGTGTGGTACTGGCAACTCAAAAGCTAAAATGGTGGGATTGTCAGTAATGTGATATTCAAAAATAGTAAACATTTTTTAGAAAGTTCATCCTAAAAAAAACACAGTCCTTTCACATTGCACACTTGAAAAAGTCAGTGTACATGTAAAACAAGTTGGAGTCTTTGACCATTTAGACAGATTCACTTTCTCAATGCATTCTAGAGGTACTATAAATTTTAACATTCCTAAGGGAGAAGTCATCATGAGCCACCAAATGTGACATTTCCAATATCATAATAGGACAGAAGACCAGATCAACCATGAGAATCCCAGGCTTGACAGACAGATAGGAGTGAGCACAGATAGGAGAAAAGGAGATGGGTGAAACACACCCAAGATGAGCTCCCAAACACAAATCCTAAAACTCACAGGGAAACCAGTCCCAAGAAGTCAGCCAAAAGGGTCAATCATCAGGAGGTAAAAGTCAAACACATACTCTGCACCCCACCCTCCCCACAAAAAAACAGAATATAAAAGAAAAGAATTAGAAAATAACTTCAAGTCATCTCAGTTAGATCTACAGATATATAATAAAAGATTTTCACATATTACAAAGGTCTGCAATTTTTAATGAGATATTTCTAACTACGATCATATGCACAGAATGAGTGCTATTAAGCTGAGCTAGAATTTTACTGTTGTATTGTTCTTTGGTAAATCTCACAGACTGCTCACCTCTGGGGGAATAAAAGGCCTATTGAAGTCCACTTAAAAATGTTTTTAACTAACAAAAAAAATATTAGGGAAATTATGACTGGGAAGTTCAGATCAGAGACCTCAGAATCATTCTGCCTAAAGTCCACCTCCATCAGCATCTCAAACCTCCCCATATCATCCTATGACACCTCCCCAACCCACTCCAGTGAGATCCCTGCTTCTGAGACCAGAATTCATCCATTTCTAAATGGTTCTTACTGTAAATGTCTCTTCATTACTCTAATCCAGAACCTGACAGAGAGCAAAGAGAGGTCATGAACCCTGAGTCTGAATTCGGCTCTGCTGTTTATCAGCTGCATGAACGTGAGCAGATAACCTCTTTGGGCCTCCATTTCTTCACCTGTCATTGGTGATAATAATTTCACCTACGCTCTGGATTCTTGTGGGAATTGAGAGTTAACCAAAATGAAGTGCTTGGGACAGTTCCTGGAAGATGGTAAGTGCTACATAAAGATTGACAATAATTCTACCTTTGATCTTCAATATCTCTTTAAATAATAGAAAATACAAGTGCCACCAAAGGACCCCAGATACTTGTACCATTTTCATATTGTACCTCTGCTACTTTCTTCCTGTTCTCATCAGGCTCCAATTCTCAATACTCCTTTGGAAACTGGATTCTCAGTTTGAATTTCCATTTCGTGTATGCTGGGGCCTATACAAGACGATGATGCACCAACCTATACATGGCCCTATACTTCGTGTTTATACACCAACTTACAATCAGTGCTAATTCTACTTCCATTAATATTTCAAAACGCTTAGTTATACCATGTTTAAAACTCAGCAGACAAAATTATTATTTTTTTCTTGTTTTACTGGAACTGACATCAATTTATATTGTGAGTTTTCATGCTACTGGGTGGCAGGGACTTAATCTGACTTCATTTGAATTCAGCTTAAGTTGAATCAGAATTCTGGAGCCAGAGTTTCCACAACTGAGACTGTCAAGGTTTTAGGGATGGAGTAGGGGACAGCATTTGGTTATCAGCAGTTTTGGAACCTAAGACCATCTGCTGTTGAAATGTTATGCCATGACACAAAGAAATCCTTGAGGCTCGTGGAAGACAGACAAGCTAGACTTCCTTAACAAGCTAGTAGCAGGTGAAGCTTGTGTCACCCCATTTCCACCCCCAGACATTCTGCAGGGACAGAACACAGATCTCCTCTACTTTCTTATCTCTAAACGTATCCAATAAAAATATCCAATATCCTAAACCCTCAGCTAACTCCTAATGTCTCAAGAAACCATAAGGGCTCACTGTGCCCCCCAGAATCTCTCTGTCCTTGAGGTTACCATGTCCTCCTGCCCCCAAATCTCTCTGTTCTTAAGGATTGGGAGTCTTTGTTCATCTCTGTGAAGAATTTACTGACTTTGATTCATCATATATTTCTCTAAATAGGCCTGGGTTCTTTTGAAAATATGAACTTATGAACTTTACCACATTTTAAATCCTACTCTCTTTTAAGGCACCCTTTTCTCGAGGGAATGAAGGCAGAATGCCTAACTCCCTGAGTAGGAGATTAAAAAAAAAAGAATTGGGAGCATGAGGGAAAAGGATCAAAACTATAAAATTTCTCACCTTGTTATCTATTTGGTGAAACACAATTGGATGGAGTCCATTCTATGATCAAATAAAAAATATTTTCTCAGCACTGACTCTATGCCAGGCATTGTATGAGGTAGTAGGTTCACAAAAATGAATAAGATATGAACCCAACTCTAGAAATCAAGTCTCTTAACACTCAAGTTGGTCTCATCCTCTCTCTTCCCTCTTCTGCTTTATTTAAGATCACGAATCTTTGTGGTGTGTTATTATAAGTTTTCCACCTGCCTCCCCGCTTCAAGTCTCTTACCTTTCAGTATTATGTGCTTCCTACCTATCCTTTACATTTTCAGTAGCATTATTTTGTTTAAAACTTTAGTGTTACAGTTATCTTTAGGACAAAATGCCAAGCATGATGTTTACTGTTTGAGAAAAAAATTTATTTCTTTTGTTTCTGAAAACAATTCTATCAGATAGCTCTTTTGATCTCAATTTCACAAATAAGTTGCAAACATTCTATACATTTGGATACTTATATTTCAAAATAGCTACTGAGAGAATTGTTCTATTCCTGCAGAGTGTCTGGTGGTGGGAATAGGGAGAAGCAATCCCCAGAACCCCTTGCTACTAGCTTTTCAAGAAAAAGACACAAAGGCTTAGAAATCTTCAACCATCCTGACTCAGTCCACAAAACTGGGAGAAGCCAGGCTTGAAATCAACTTTCTTGTTTGTAGACCCATGGTTTTTAATATTGATGTTCTACTCTAATCAAGCTTACCTCTTACATGAAGGAATGTTCTAGAACAAGACAACTACTACCATTACTTTTATCACTACAGTAAATAAAAATACCACTTTGGATTTCAATGTCCTGGGTCATCATTGTTACAGAGAAGAAAGGAAGTAGAAGATGCTTACCTTGGTGGCCAAATCAGTAAGTCAAATGAGCCTCCACAGTCCATAGGTGACCAATTTTGAGCTGAATCACTCTTGCATGCAGAGTATGATATACAAAGACTTATAGACAAAATACTAAGAGATCTGTTCAGTTCATACATACCATAACTGTGAAAGACCAGAGATCCCAGTCTCTTGAGTTCTGTATCCACAAAGCACAATGCAGCATACAATCCTCCAAATCAACTGAACTGAAACCTTTTAATGAGTTAGTCCAGTTGAACAGGCAACTTAACATATTTGAAAGTCTTAAAACATGGCAATTCATTGCATCTCTAGAAGCCTCTGGTAGAGCTAAATGGAGGTTCACAGGCAAACCTCAAAAACACCAAAGTTGCTTATGACTATAAACTTCACTCAATTTTTTCCCAAGTGGTTTCAATATTTAGTTGGAAGAGTGACAGTTGGACTTAATGGTTTTCTTTTCTCACTTTTCTTCAAAAACCAATCCATCTCACTACTACAGTGCTTTCCAACCTTTTTAAACCCAGGAGACTTTTGTATAAACTTGAAATTCTCATGACAGCCTTCCCTCCACCCGCAACTCCCACCCTGATGAGTGAGCTTTGTGTGTGGTAGAAAATAAATTCTGTTTCCTGTGCATTGTGTGAGATAAGGAAAAAAAAAAAAGCTTTGCATTTTATTTGAGAAGTTATTTTTTTAAAAAGCAGAGTATCACTTTCCAAATATAAAAATATATTTTAATTTTTTTTTTAATTTCATGTCATCCTTTTAAACCCCTTCTTAGCCCTCCCAGCTACTAAATCAACTATATAATTTTACTTATTAATTAGTGATATTCATATGCAAGATTGAGGTTCAATTTAAGGCTTTAAATGGGTCCAAATAGTCAGAATATTTTTCATTCATGAAAGACTTCCCAGCTAAAAAGAAAATAAAGCAACAAAAATGAAATTTTCAGACTCACAGAATTTCCAAGTGCCCAGAGTGTCAAGAGATTATTTAACTTTATACTTTCTACCCCAGATCTATGGAACTTCAGTCTCTGGGTTTGTGGCCAGTGATCTGGATTATCAACAAGCACCCAAGCTTATTCTAATAACTCCCAGTGGGGAACCAGTTACTCAATCCTACTCTATTATTTGACAGGTAATAAAATTGCAAAGAGATTAAATGCAGCTAACTCCATTCAGTACCATTTAAAAAAAATAGTTTTCAAATTTTTATTTCATCATATCTATTATTAACTATAAATTTTAACTGTAATTCTATTATTAACTCTAACTCTTATCTAACTTCTTCTTATTATTTATTCTTAGTAGGAAAAAATTTATGATCACTTTATTATTCTTTTTTTCCCAAAAGTTTCCTAAACAGCTGAAAGTGATAGATTGAGTACATTCCTATACCTCTTCTCAAACATGTGATTTCAATGAAACAGTTACAAGAAGAATAAAAAAGATATGACTCAGCAAGAAAGGGAGAGGATTATTCACATTTTCAGATGATGTAAAAGAGAAAAGAGATGGTGAAGTGGTGGCTGATGTGGGAGCCTACCCAGAGGACCACCAGTGAGAAGACTTATTTGCATCAGAGAATTCAGGACATTTGACAAGGGTAAGACTTAAAGCCAAAAAGCATATGGATGGCTTGAAATTCCAGGTGTGCATTCATATACCACCTTCCCCTGCTCTCGTGCAGAGATGCCAACTGCCGCTCCCCAACACTGCCAGCCCCGACATCTCCTATGAAAGTGAAAGGGTAAAACCTGAACTCAGAAGCACCAGATGGGACAGAAGGGGAGAGTAGGATGTAAGATTGCAGAGGGTGAGGGAAGAGTCAGCATTTTGAATAGCTGGGCCATCAAGCCTCTGCCTAGCTAGGTGTCTGCCTCTTGGGAAGAAGTTGGAAGAATCATCTCTAGAGATATTGAATGACAGCTACCTGCTAAAACCACATGTTTACGTATATGAGAGAAGGGAATAACCACCAATGAAGTTCTCTAATAAAAGCAAAGACAGCCCCATGCCTGAAAACTTCCACACTAGTTTTCTGGGGCTGCTGTAACAGCATAATACATACTGTGCGCCTTAAACATCAGAAATGTCCAACATCCACACTTCTGGATGCTGGAATTTGGAGATAATTTCTTCTGAGTCTTCTCTTCATGTCTTAAACGTGGCCCCCTTCCCCCTTTGTCTTTACTTGGTCTTCCCTCACCCTGGATGTACAAATCTCCTTTCTTGTAAAGACACCCATCATATAGGAGTAGACCTTTTCTAATCATCTCAGTTTAACTAAGTTACCTCTTTATAACCTCTCTCCAAATACTGTCACATTCAGAGGTACTGGGGGATTTGGAACTCAACACCTGAAACATGGCACAAAAATTCAGCCTATTACAGCTTCTAAAAAGATTCTTAATATTTTACTTGTATTCATGAATATCAGGGGTTACTAAACAACTCTCCCTTGAAGAAAGCTCTCTAAACTGACTCACTCACACAAACCCAAAAGATGACTTAGGTACTTGGGGAAAACTTTAAAGATACCAATTAATATCTTCAGAGAGATATCAAGAACTCCCAATTTGACAAAACCAGAGCAGAATACTAAAGGAGAAATCAAAAGCAGAAAACCTGAAAAATTATACCATTGTAACAAAATACAAATGAGCAGATAAATGGATGGAACAGAAAGTCCAAAAAATTGAACCAAAAAAACTTAAGAAACTGGAAATATAAAAGTAAACATGGAGATTAAGAAATCTGGTATAAAAGAAGCCAAATCTAATTAATAAAAATTTCAGAAAGAGAAAATGAATGGGAAATATCATCAAAAATATACTGCTAAGATTTCTCAAATCTGTATCCCTACATCCCTCCCTTGAATTCTAGGCTTGGTGCCCTACTTGCCTGCCTGCTCATTAGCCTCAGTTGAATGCCAAATGGACATCTCAAAATTAAATGCCTAAAATTTTGCTTCATTTGTATAACATATCTTAATAAATGAAAAATTCATTTTCCTCTAGTGGCTCAGATCAAAAAGTATAAAAAATAAAAATTGGTATAGAACTTGCCTCCTCTTTGAGTTTTACAGGCAACTGAACAGTAAGTACTGCTGTGTCTATGTTAGAATATGGGCACAACTCTCTATCCCTCATCACCTCTACCTTGATCCATTGCTATGAGCAACAGTCTTTGCTACCTAGCTTATTGCAGTTGCCTCCTGATGCTCTCTCTGCTTCTATCCTTGCTGCTTCCATAATGTTTTCTCCCTGAAAAAGCCAAGATAATTCTTTTAAAAATATGACAAAGTCATATTTACCTGCTGAGAGTTCTACAAAGGATTCCCTTCTCACTTAGAATAAAAAAAAAAAAAAAGTCCTCAAAATGGCCCATAGGGCCCACCGTGGTGATTATCAACCCTGTGTTTTCAGTTAATTCAATGAAACTCTATAAAACATTCCACAAGGGTTTTTAATAGCTATCAAGAAACTGATTCAAAAATTTGGAGGACTACCACTAGTTTTAAAACTTAACTACAAAACTAAAATGAACTCAAAATGGTTTAAAGACTAAAATGCAAAATCTGAAACTATAAAACTGCTAGAAGAAAATATAGGAGAAAAGCTTGATGACATTAGCCTGGGCAATGAATGTTTGAATATGAACCCCAAAACACAAACAACCAAAGTGAAAATAGACAGGTGAGATGGTATCAAACTAAAATCTTCCGCACAGCAAAGGAAACAATGAGTGAAGAAACAGCCTATGGAATGGAAGAAAATATTTGTAAACCATATGATAATAAGTTAATATCCAAAATATATAAGGAATTCAAACAACTCAATAATAAGAAAGCAAGTAACCCGATTAAAAATGGGCAAGGATCTGAACAAACCAATGAAGCTATACAAATAGCCAACAAGTATATGAACAAGGCTCAACAATACTAATTATTAGAGAAATGCAAATTAAAACCACAATGAGATATCACCTCATACCTGTTAGAATGGCTATTACCAAAAAAGACAAAAGACATGAAGAGGTATAGAGGATATGGAGAAAAGGGGACACTGGGTAGCAATGTAAATTAGTACAGCCATTACGGAAAAACAGTATAGAGGTTCCTCAAAAAGTTAAAAAGAGAGCTACCATATGATCCAGCAATCTCATTACGGGGTATATATCCAGAGAAAATGGAATCAGTATGTCAAAGAGACATCTCACATACATGTTCATTTAGCATTTATTCTTAATAGGCAAGAAATGGAATCAACCTACACAAGTAGGTAAAGAAAATCTAGTGTATATATGCAATAGGATACTATTCAGTCTCAAAAAAACAACAAAAAAGGAAATTCTACCATTTGTTAACAACATGAATAAGTATAGAGGACATTATGTTAAGTGAAAGAAGCCAGGCACAGAAAGACAAATACACATGGTCTCACTTACATGTGAAATCGTAAAAAATTGACCTCATAGAAATAGAGAGTGGAAGGGTGGCTACCTAGGGCTGGGGACAGTGAATGGGAAGATGTTTGTGAAAAGACAAAATTTTAGTTAGGAGGAATAAATCCAAAACATCTATTGTACAACATGGGAATCATAGCTAATTACAATGTATTATTCTTAAAAAACATTAAAAGTAGATTTTAACTGTTCTCACCACAAACAAACAAACCAAAGAAATGATTAATACAGGAAATAATGGCTATGTTAATTAAATCCATTTAGCTATTCCACAAGGTAAACATGTTTCAAAAACAACATTTTTACCCAACACCAATATAGGCAATTTTGATTTATCAATTTTAAATAAATAGCTTTTAAAATGAGTGACCCCACATCCCCCAAAAACCTACAATAAACAAAACAGTGTAGTTTGATGAGAGAATAGACATATAAATCAATGGAAGATAATAAAATGGCTAGAAACAGACCCACATAAATATGGTCAACTGATTTTTGACAAAAGTGCCCAGATAATTTAATTTAAAAAAGATAATTTGTTTAACAAATTACCTTGAAACAACTAGATGCCCGTGTGGAAAAGTAGTCTTCTATATATATATCTCACATATGATAATAAATGGGCTAGAAATTGTTCATAGAATGTAAAATGTAAAAACTTTTTAGAAGTTCTAGATAAAACGCAGGAGTGACTTGCTCTAACTTCGGATTTGCAAAAGAATTTTTAAACATGAATTTAAAAACTCAGCACACAAAAGAAAAAAAATTAGGTGGACTTTATCAAAATTAAAGACTTTTACTCTATGAAAAACATTGTTAAGGAAATGAAAAGATTAGGAGAAAATATTTCCAAATGATACATCTTTCAAAGGATTTGTGTCCAGAATACATAAGTAACTGTCATAATTCAACAATACTAAACAAACAAAATGAAAAATAATTTTTAAATGAACAAATTACCTGAATGGGCACTTCACCAAAATAAATGCATATTTGTATGTATTAATGAATAAGAATACACGCTCATGGCGCGCAGACACACACACATGGCAAATAAGCATAAGAAAAGATGTTAAACATTAA